CCCTAACAGCATGGAGATATATGGCATGTGGGGATGATGTGTTGCAAAATACAGTACAGTGGGAATTAATGTAGGACAAATCATCTAATGTTCAGTAGGCAGCCAGGATATTCACAATAATATTGGTATGGGTGTCAATGCATACAGAGTATTCACCCTAAAACAGACAATACCACTTTAATGTTGGCTTCTGGCAGATACATGATAGTTGTAACTCCATGCGTTCTTGTCTAATGATGGATCCAAGATTTAAGTGGTACTCACAATTCAGATTAGTGCTCACCCCCCAAACCAAAAGTAAATCATTAAGAAAGTGGTCCCTAGCTACACAGTAGTTGTTTGTTAGAATTAATTGGGAAAAGAAAAACAGAAACAGAAAACACTGTGGCGCGAGGATTTGATAAAATAGCACAATTCTCTACAGCTCTGTGTTTTCTTACAGCTTAACAATTGTCAGACACTTTTAAAAACACGTAATGAGCTACCCAGAGCCTTTACTTAGCTGGTGAAAGATAGCATTTAGCAGAAAGTATGCTTCCCAGAGTAAAAAGCACAAACAGTCTTTGTATTCTTGTTGATGCTTTGTCAAGTAAGAACATGGTGAACAAACTGCAACTGCATAAAAAAATCCCACACTAGTAAGATATCCCACTCTCCCTCAGCATCCAAGGAGAGAAAAAAGATCCCAACTCTCTGCAGGAGTGTAGCATTTCAAGCCAAGAATGTGTGGAATTGTATCCTATGGATTTTTTGAAAAGTAGTATAGTAATGATATGAAAGCATTTATATTATGCAGTAATTGAATTTCTTAGACAATTCTCCAGAATTTATTACTGTAAAATGAGGTTACTTTGAAGTGATAGTAATATCAAATCTAATACTTCCATGTTTAGAATTTGAGCACAGAGACAAATTGTATTTATTTTATAAATTGCAATTCTTGATAGTACATCACACTGCATTGCTTAATATACAGACATTATCAACAGGAATACATCAAACTCAATTTATCCAGATGGTGCAATTTGTGATAAACTTTCTGGGGTTTGGTTTTTTTGTTGTTTTTTTTTTGATTTTACTTTTTTTTTAAATCAAGCCACCAAAAAAATAAACTTACTTGCACAGGAAACAAGTAAACCCACAATTTTCTTAATCAATTTCTTTTGATGTTCATTTTTATGGTAATTTTTTAAACTTACAGAAGGAACAGAAATTGCTTGGACCATGGTGTATATCAAAGGAACTATGCTTTTAAATGGGCATATGCTTATATTAGGGAAATTATGGTCTCAAAGAAGAAGCTTCATCCCTCACTCACTCTATCTACTCTGGCCATAAAAATTCAGAAATATCTATTTTTTCCACTAGAATGAATCTGTGGAAAAACTCCAAAATGGAAGGCTCTCATACTGCTTGTTAAACTCTGATTCAGCAAGATGCTCAAGGAAACTACTTGTATTTTCCCAACTTAAGGTCAGGTTTGTGTAAGAGCATTTGGGTAATCAGTACCAAGCTCAACAGGTTCTACTTTATCTGCCCATATTTTTATGGAGATTTATGGGTTACTTTTGAACCTCATCCTGTTAGCATGTGTTAATCCTGCCCTGAGAACAACTATTGGATTATGTACTTGGGAGATTTAGCTGGAAGAAATTATACTCTTTTGATCCTAATAAATCCAATGAGCATCCCAAGCAGCTCAGCCATGACATACACAGACCTGGAGCAATACAAACAGGATCTGGAGGTGTTCCCAGAAGAGTCTTATCATGCTATTGGATCAGTGCCCTTCCAAAATGTAGAGGCTGATGCCCTTTTCTTCCAAAATGCTGCCAGAATAATGCAGGAGACACTGCATTAAGCACAGTTTTGGACTGAGATCCCTGAGGTACCCCTTGTGTATTAAAGTGCCTGTTTTCACAGGCACCTTACAGAGCGGGTCCCACCTCCTCTCCACACCCTGCATGTTCGTGCTGCAGACTTTGTGCCAGGATAAGCACATGCTGATGCTGCTTGCTGAACTGAACCAGATTGTTGGCTTAGCAGGAAGCTAACCATCCAAATAAAACCAAGCCCAAATTGCTACTTTTCAGTCAGATCAACTTTCTTTGAGCCTCCTGCAAAGCTACACAAACCGGGATAAAGGAGAGAGGGCAGGATCTACCCTCTTAGCTGGAGCACAGCCTTGAATCTGATACTCAGTGTTTCCATATTTCAGTTTCCTGTCTGGCATATGTAATAATTAGCAATCTATTTTATTTAGAGGGAAAGAAGACAGCACCATAGCCATCTTTCCACCATATTCTAGGTTCCTTAACTGATTATTTTTTTAGTGACATTTATTCTGGATATGTTTTTGCAGTCCAAATTGTGTCTTTTATACACTATTTTTTATTATTGTTGGATGACAAGGTGAAAAAATGCTTACTAAAATGCTGTGAGGCACAACACTAATAACTCCTTGTCTTTAAAATTACTCAAGCGTAATTTAATCATTTAAACTACCCACCTTGACTGTCAGAGTGAGTACAAATCACTGGGTTACTGAAAAGCACATATAACCATCAGTCATACAAAAAATGCACTGTCCTTAGCATCTGAATTCTCTAGATTTCCAATAGATAAATGAAGAAATGAGCACAGGATTTATAAACTGGGTCCTTAATTATAGAGAGACGATCTTGCATTTTATGCAGCACAGATGAATATTTGTCTGTGATTGCTTAGTTCTGCAATCACATGGTGCTCTACTGGTAGAGAAAAAATTCAGAGGTTTCTTCCTTTTCAAAGAATTTAATCACCCAACCATTAGATACAATAAGGTCATTTCTACGAGAAAACTAATTTCCAGGAATAACTTAACCTGCTTTCATAAGAGCTCGCTCTACATCAAGGATGGTAATAAATACTAAATACCAAAGTTAAAGCCAGTCCAAATGCAATTCTGATGTGAAGTTCATTGTCATTTGCAACCTTTTTATCAAAGTGCTGTTACATGTTTCTACCTTGCGTGTTCTCCTCTATGAAGATATGGAAACCTTAGACAAAAAAATATTCTTTCAGCAGTGAGAATTTTTCCCCCCATTTACATATACCTTTTACATTCTATCTCTGTTTTCTCAGGTGCTTTACATTCTGCTCCTTCGTAGATGTGCTGAGTAAAAGCTGGAAGTTCAGCAGTAATGTTAGGCAGTACATCTGTCCACCTGCTCAAAGGCTGCTGGCACCTACTACAATGGCATTGACAGACCTGTTGAAATGGTTTTGATCATTCTGCTTTTCACCAGCTTAGGCTTACAGATGGTGCAGACAATGAATTAAGATTGGACTAGCATTGGAAACATCTAGCTTTTTCAGGAGAAAAAAAAAGAAAGACTTGAAGTTCTCTTTTCTACTGCTTAAATGTCAGCAGGTAAGGTAGTCAAGCCACACTGCAACCTGAACCACTTAAGACTTTGCACAACCTTCCTCAACTAAGGAATTTTACACTAGCAGAAGGTATCTACTTTCGATCCTACACCTAAAATGAGAATATTGTCGGATATACTTGCTATTGATGTTCTGTGTCAACATAATCATTTGGTGGTTTAGATCTTGTACGTAGTGATCTGCTCTGAGTGATTGTGCCATTTGCGGTTCAGATCTGTAACAGGCATAAAACAATGTTCTTTCTGTTGCCAATACAGGTTCTTAGAGCAAAAGTACTTGAGTTTAGCTATAATGTACTTATTTTTATTAAAATGCTAGTATGTTATGAAATCAAGTCCCTGATGGGTCACATAGCTTTGCTCAACCTCTCAGTTTTAATGTCATTAACATGATGAAGATGCATGCTGTTGGCAGATGGATTTTCAGCTTTTCTAGGAACCCAGTCAGCTGGATAAAGATACAGGGTTAAAATTATGATTGTTTCTGTTATCTTAAAGAAGCAATTTTCAGGTTGAAAATATTCAGATTTTATGAGAACGCCACTGCTCCCACTCACCTTTACCTCGCTTTCCCAGTCTCCACAGGTAATTGGCAATTGTAACTGCAAACTATTTTTCCCTGGGAATTGGTTCTCCGTTTTTAATAATTTAGTACACTGGGTGAAAATTTTCATTTAGAAAATTACTTCTTAAAGGTTAGTGTATTGATCTTAACATATGCGCAACACTGTTGCGTGGTTATCAAAGCAAATGTAAGCCATACACAAGAGCACCCCACACCAAAATCCATGCATTGAAATTGAAAAAAAAATTGTACATTTGCTACTGTAGCTCAGACAGGAGCCAAGTAAAGAGTCATTCTGGAGAAGAGAATCGATGTTCTACACCACCAGGGCTTCAGATGAGGACTCTAAGAAAACGGAATTTTAGGGGAGGAGGAGAAACAGTAGATCTCAAAAGGCAAAAGATAAATGGCTTAATGTGTTCCCATTGTTTTGCCATACACATAATCTTAAAGACTCAAAAATATAGCAGTATCCTCAAGTATTTAATCTACCTTTCAAAATTAATTTGTACATTTTAGACCAAGTTATCAAAAAGCAAAAAAGGGAAGAAAATAATTAGGAAACCTTTCTCCGTCAGGATACCTCTTTTCTGAAATCCGTATTTCTTAAATATTTTTGATGAAATGATTGCCCAAAATGTTCCTTTACTTTTTGTTTGTTTTTACTCTGGCACAGTACTTCGCAGTAGAACAGAGAGCAGAATCAGGAAGACTGGAACACAAGATGGAGATTCAATTCTCATCAAATCCTAATCCTATGGTCTTCTTATGATGGCAGATCTATACCTGAAATCTCACTGTACTGTCACACCAGTATTAGTAGCAAAGGGAAGAAAGAGGGAGAAAGAGGTGAAATGAGAAACGAGAAAAAATAGAGAAGGGAAGAGGAGCAGGAGAGAAAAAAAGTAAAGCAGGGAGAAAGTATGAAAAAGAGTGAAAACAAATGGAAAAGAAGAATGAAGCACCAGTCAAATATCACCACTCCCTTCGTTTTCATTGCTACAATCCAAAATGAACCAGTTGAGCTAAATCCACACATCGCATGCTTACAGGTCACAAGGAACTGGTGCTTCATCTGGAAAAATACGGTATCAACTGAAAGCCATATCCATACCACATAATTTCTGCAGAGATTTTTCTGAGTATGTTTCACGATCACAGCCCTTTCCAATGTAATTGGTCTGTAATTCAATGGTGGTATGTATTGAGGAAACTGGTCCATCACACGTTTCTAGATGAATGCTGGGAAACAAAGGTATGCTGCCAGAACCGGGCTTGTATTCAATCCGTTTGTTCCAGTCTGGAAAAAAACAACAGCAAGAAAGATCCAAGAGTGATTAAAAAAGGGAAGGGAATTATATAATGTTAAGTGACAATTGTTCTCAAAGGTCACTGTCTAAGACAAAAATAAAAGTTTTTGAACTTGGCATCAGTAAGTTACTGTCGTAAAAAATTGGATTTTGCCCCTCTTTTACAAAGAGTGTCAGGCTCAATTAAGTAATACTACTACTGCTAGAGTCACACAAGCACAGGGTACATACATATCCTGACAAGAAGTGCTAATTGGTGTCAGTCTGGGTCTCCGATGTCCACGTCCCTGTGACAGACTACAAGCTAGCTCTGCAGGGCCGAGGCTGTCTGCTGCACTGAATTGGGTCAGATTTCATAGTTTTGTGATACAGAACAAATATCTCCAAAGACCAGGCTATATACATCGGTCTTGCCGGACTGTGACCAAAAGCTAATATAACACATCTGTAGTGCCACTTCTTGTCTTCAACTGTCTTACTAATTTTGTGAAGTATTAATGATAGAAAGTTACAGCTGAAAGGACGACTACTGCTTTCAGCCAGATCTGACTAATCTGTGATTTCCTTTGTGTAGATGTCTCACAGCCCACAACATTTAAACAATCACCTGCCTTAGGCAGCCACCTGGACATGCCATACATACCACTATGCTTCTCAACTGAAGCATTTAATTTTTAAATCCAATTAATTATGGTGTTTGCAACCTGCTTCATAGAAAACCCAAACAAGCGGCATTAATTAAAAACATGCATTTCAGCTATCTTTACAGTTCAGATTTTCATAGAATCATAGAATAGTTTGGTTGGAAGTGACCTTCAAAGATCACTTAGTCCAACCCCCCTGCCACGGGCAGGGACTCCTTCCACCAGACCAGGTTGCTCAAAGCCCCTTCCAGTCTCACCTTGAACACTTCCAGGGATGGGGCAGCCGCAGCTTCTCTGGGCAACCTGTGCCACTGCCTCATCATCCTTCGGGTAAGAATTGCTTCCTTATATCCAATCTAAATCTACCCTCTTTCAGTTTTAAACTGTCAATACAGGCCTTGGTAAAAAGTTTCCCTCTTTCTTATAAGCCCCATTTAGGTACTGGAAGGCTGGTCTAAGGTCTCCCTGGAGCCTTCTCTTCTCCAGGCTGAACAACCCCGACTGTCTCAGCCTGTCCTCATTGGAGAGGTGCTCCAGCCCTCGGATCATCTTCGTGGCTCTCCTCCTCATTGCTCTAACAGGTTCCTATCTTTCTCATACATTTTAGCCAACTCCAGCCAAGTTCCCACCCAACATAGATAAGAATGCCACATTAATATAGACATGCAAATAGTTAATTACTTTGAAGTCACAAAATTATTCAACTGTGCTACCTAACGTGTACATCCATGTATCTGTAAAATTTGTCAAAAGAAGTACTCTTGCACACACAGCTGAAGTTTCTCTGACTTTTTTCAGTCCTCGGTAAAAGACGATTCCATAAATGGAAAAATTCTAGGTCCTGGCAGTCAATAAAATCTCTTTAAGTGAATAGACAGGTACATTCTTTCTAAGGATCAGTGGAAGGAAAAGTAATTAAAACATACATATTTATATGCATTTAGTAGTTGAAAGTGTTTGGTGTTTTTCAACAGATCTTATTTTCAAAAAGCTTGAAAAAAAGATGCTCTCTCCCACCATCTTCAACTGGCTTAAAAGTTTACAAGAAAATCTGAAAGTCCATGGAAACATTTTGAAATGTAGACCAATTGGAGACAGTCATCGGTTTGCATTTCAAAATTCTCAGATTTTCTTCATGACTTTTAATCCAAATGGTAGTCACGTAGCATTTTATTCTCAAGAGGAAGCTGAGACTTCATGGAACATTCTGAAAGTATGTTTAGTAACTATTTTTACAAAAATCTGTAGGACTTGTACCTCACTGACTAAAAGACAACTATGACTACTTCATTGCCTGTGCACACATCAGCTCAGTTCCTGTTTCAGTAGTAATTTTCAGGTAATAATATTCAGCCCATTCTTTCCGTATTAAGTTAGATTTGATCTGTAGTATTGCGTATTTTGTCTGCCATTGTCAACTTAAACAGTTCCCTTAGAATTTCAAGTACCATATAAGGTATATCATTACAATAACAGATTTCTGTTCCCTATCCAATTCCAGAAACTTGAGGTTAACATTTTCCCAATAGAACAAGAGCAGCAAATTCTTTCAGATACTTAAAGTAAAAATAAAATAATTTGCTGTTTTGTATACAAGCTAGTAATATATGAATGATTGTTCTTTATAGTCTCTTATTCACCAGTTAAAATATTATCTTCCTCTACCCAAAAGGAAAAATAGAGTGTCATATGTATCTGAAACATTTCTACCTCAGCAGCTCTCAGGTTTCAGCCACATTTTCATTTCTCAGCTATATCAAATTAAACGGCACCCATGCAAAATATTCATTAGTTTATGTGAGATGTGACTGAATTATTAACTGTAACATATCTACAACTGCACACTCACCTCCAGTTATATGAAGAATGTCTTATTAAAAACATACTATATAAAATGCCACTACGACCAAGGAAGAATAATGGAAGAACTCTCTTTCTGCCACATGAATGTCCCTTGGATGGAAGAGGTGTTTCATTTCACAGTATTACTTTTCAACTTGGCAGAACTGGTGATTTGTACCCAGAAATCACAAACTCTGAAAGTTCTAAGTCACTCACATTTATCTCAGCTCTAAATTGTAGAACATCGACTAAACTTGAACTAGTGTCTTTGCACCTTGATCCCCTGCAGCATCATAGACCAATCCTCATCCTAAATCCCACTAGCACTTCTTTCACTGACTTAGTGCAGATTTAGAAAGTCCGTCAAGGAGTCCTTCTCTACATAGGAGGCATTCCCAGGCAGGCACAAGGCAATACTGGAGTAAGATACAATCCCGTGACAGCAGGACAGTCCTCAAAGGTAGCAATAGCTCTGATACAAATCGACTGGCTTATTTATATCATACCTGTCCCCATGGCATTTCAGCATCCCAGAGGTATTGAAGCTGAGACCAACACCCTCTGTATCTCACCATCAGTAAAGTTAGTAACGTTGCAAAGTGGATAGAGTTAGAACAAACAACAAGAAGTGGTGGCAGTGTGAAGAGCTTATTGTGACAAAAACCCAAGTCTTGCATTTAATTTTTCAATGTGGTGAAGATCGTGATTTTTCTTTCTCCCAGAATAACATCCTGTATTGAACAGATTCAAAAGATCAGCAGCTTTTCCACAGGAATATGGTGGCACTTTTTCAATTCCTCTAGAACTGACTCAGAGAAAGAGTCTTAGGTAACCTGAATCTACAAAAGCCTCTGAATTTCACATATTTAAAAACTGTATCTTAAAATATGACTCATGTCTAGGGTTATGCAAACAGTCAAAAGATACATAATCCCATCTGAAATAGTAGGTTGCACTAGATTAGCTAAACTCAACCAACACAGTTCCTCCAACACAAACTGTCGCGTGACACCACCACATTACAGTGCCAACTCGGAAAGGTAAGCACCATCTCCCTAGTAGAGGCTAAGACTAATGCCATGGGAAAAGCTGGAATAAAACTAGCCCTGTTTAGTCCTGCGGAAGACAGTCTGGATTTTTTAATTCAACAGACTTTTGCTTGCCACTTGTGCTATAAAGCTCTTCCAGACAATATAAGACTGCTCCAGCTGGATTGTATCTACGAGGTAACAACACTGGAGTGCAAATATCACAATGTCAAGTTTGTGGTTCAGATTTCATCAGTTCTAAAACAACTATGTAAACTTGGATCTCGAACTCTGAGATACTCAAACTGATCCAAGATCAAAATGGATCAAACTACAGCGACAGTTCAAGCCTTTAAAAGTTAATCCCGATGCATTAAATAAATATTCCTTTTAACAGATGGATAACGTAAAGACTTTCCTTGATCTCTACACTTAACAGTTTTGTATATGTCTCTCTTTCCTTGTGATCCATGTATTTTATTTTACTTCATTTCTAATGCTTGATGACACTAAGAGTGATTTAATCTGATTTTTCCTTGAAGGACCATGGCACTCACATGTGCAGAGGAGGTATGACCTGATTCATGTCTCCTCCTACATGTCTGTGGCCATGAACTTTTAAACCACCTCGTGACATTAAAAATGTTGGCAAGGTAATTACAGGCAATTGCAACACAACTGCTACTATGCCAGTGAAATGCAAAACTTCTCTCACGTTGGACTGAAGATGTGCATCCTGGCAGCTAAATGTAAGATAAAATTTATGTAGCACTATTAGTGAGTTTCTGCAGCATCTCTACATAATAGCTGGAACATAAGGTTCCCAGAGCAATGTAATTGGTAGATCTTCTATTTCCTCTACAGCATCTTCACAGCTGTCCTATCTATGTAGGCTGGATATTTGGCTAAATGTTATACTGCTTCTTTTTTTTTTTTAAAAAAAAAAACAAAACCTTTTACACTTCACAGCTTTTCTGAAATATTTTTTTACTAAACATTTTACTGTCTATTAGTTTGAAAATCTGAAACAATCAAAAAAAAAAAGCGGTTCAAACAAGATCAGACATATCTCTGTGGTTTTGCCAAAAGTACACTTATTTTCACGATTTATGAAACTCCCTGTATCTTAAAAGCAGCAGCCAGGCAGCTCTAGATGCTGGTACAATGATATTTGGAGGAGCAGTGCACTGTCCTCGCAGAGCTACAATTTTCTTTCAACACCATGAATTTACTGGAAAGTGCACATGTTGCCAGAGCATCACATGCTGCAGTCACCTCAATAAATACCTGCTGTACAGTTAGGCATTCTCCATATGTGAAGATCAATGACTATAAGACATTTCCAAAATGTACGTGTTTTACTACTTGAATTTCTACTTTGAACTAAAGATAAAGGATTTTTTAGTGAAATATACACAGGGTAATGGTTCCTGCATATTTTCTCTTAGATAGCATTCTCTCTGTATTTATGGACTT